CGCGCAATAATTCGACCAAAGGTGATCCTATTACAGGAATAGCGTCAGGGACACCTGTTACTATTTTCATAGCAGCAAAGGAGAACGCGATATTGATTCAGTCGGACCAAAATATAATGAAGGGTATAAGTGATCTATTTCGCATAGTTTTAGTGTAATTTTGACCTTTTACATTAAAAAAACTGTTAGAAAATATGTAGATTTGCCAATGTGAAAGAAATCACTAATTCTCAACAAATCTAGTTGTGAAAATTGCTCGATGGCAGAAGTTGAGAGAAATTGGGGATAATTCATGTTGTATTAAATCGTAAAATATTTTTTTTATGTTAATTTATATGACTTATTTTTTTAGTTAATTGTAAAAAAAAGGACAAATATTTTTATTGGATAAATATCTGATGACACTATCAATATTTTATGTTGGTTCCCACTTATCGGCAAAAATCCGTAAGTGTACTTTTTATATAAGAAAAATATTTATTTTAATTAAAGGGTAATTTTGAAAGTTTGCAAAGTTTTTCCATATTAATTCTTAAACCCCGTCTATTACAATGGGTTAAAAAGTCTCACGTTGGTTGGAGAATAAATTGGTTGTCTACTTATATGAACTTGTGCAATCCTCCCCTCAAAAGCTAACGTGCATCCGTTTACTTGCTAAAATTTCATAATATGTAATTTTCAACAACTTTCCAAACCTCTTTCAAAAAGGGATGTAAACTTAAATGCACTTTACATCAATTGGTATTCAATTATGGTAAGAGTACAATAATGTTTGGCTAATATAGATTATTAGTATCTTTGCTATATTTAACTACTTGCTAAGATTTCATATTTTTGTAATTTTGAACAACTTTCCAAACCACTTTCATAAAAGAATCTAAATTTAAATTCATTTTTCATCAATTGGCATTCAACTATGATGAGAGTATAGTATTGTTTAGCTAAGATAGATTATTAATGTCTTTGCTACATTTAACTACTTGCTAAAATTCACTTTATTTGCTTCTTAATTAGGCAAATCATCGATCATTGCCACAAGAATTACTTTAATATGGATAAAATTCACATTTGATTTCTTGTCTTGCTAATTATTTGAATAAAAGATGGACAACTTATTTCTACTTTGTCCAGTTCACATGGTAAAATAATGCATGAATTATAAAATCATTCGTGCTTGTTATTAAAAAAAGGGAATAGGGTCAAAATTGCTCCTAAACTATGCGAAATAGATCATTTATACCCTTTGTTACATTTTAGGATAAAAAATGCCCTCGTCGTTATCCTAAGAGACCACAAATTCCCTCAAGAGTTAGCGTAAAAACCCAAATTTTTAGTGATGTGGCAAGCCACATGGGACTAACCCTCCACCTAAGCGTTGCTAACTAGAATTCACTTAAAAAATTTAGACCTTTAGCGGCGATTAAAGTCGCCACAAAAGCCTAGCTAGAATATCGCCAATAAAAGTTTTCACAGTTTTTTAGCATTAAATTATGATTTTATGTTTTTTTCTTCATTGTTTTAAAAAAAAATTACAAATGACATCGATCAAGGCAAGTTTGAATAAACTATATCTTTTATTTTTATGTCATATGTAAATACGTAAAATGTACAATAACTCATTATGTAGTTGGAGATTTGAACCGAGAAGTAATGTTGATGATTTTCGTAATAATATTGGATGTTCTTAATATTGATAGTACATATTATTAATTTTAGAAAATTAGGTTGAAACCAAAAATTAATTATCATATTTTCTTTTGAGAAAAAAATATGTTTTACTAGCGAATGACTATTGCAACCTTAATCGCCGCTAAAAATCACTCAAAATCTTTAGTGGCAACGTTTTGGGATTTTGTGGCGGCTTTTGTCACCGCTAAACGTCTAGCTTTTTTTCTTTTCTAAATCCTAGTTGGCAACGCTTAGGTGGAGGGATTAGTCTCATGTGGCTTGCCACATCATTAAAAAATTTGATAGTTAACTCTTGAGGGTATTTGTGGTCTCTTGGGATAACGGGGGTATTTTTTTTATCCCAAAATATAATGGAAGGTATAACTAGTCTATTTCGCATAGTTTTAATGTAATTTTGACCCTTTTCCGTTAAAAAACTGTTGAAAATATGTAGATTTGCCAATGTGAAGCAATCACTAATTCTCAACAAATTTAGTTGTGAAAATTGCTCAATGGTAGAAGTTGAGAGAAATTGGGGATAATTCATGTTGTATTAAATCGTAAAATATTTTTTTATGTTAATTTATATGACTTATATATTTTTTTAGTTAGTTGTAAAAAAAAAGGACATATATTTTTATTGGATAAATATCTAATGACGCTATCAATATTTTATGTTGGTTCCCACTTATTGGCAAAAAACCATAAAGTGTACTTTTTATATAAAAAAATATTTATTTTAATTTAAGAGTAATTTTGAAAGTTTGGAAAGTTTTTCCATATTAATTCTTAAACCCGTCTATTACAATGGGTTAAAAAGTCTCACGTTGGTTGGAGAATAAATTGGTTGTCTACTTATATGGACTTGTGCAATCCTCTCCTCAAGAGCTAACTTTTTGGAGTTGAGTTAGGCCCAAGTGTAGAGATGAACCCACCTAATTTATTAGCGGGGTGCACGTGCATCCGTTTACTTTGAAGTTATAAGTATTTTTTTTGTACAAAAATCTTGAATATTATTTGTAGAAAATATAAATTTTTCATATAAGAGGAAAGAATTATTAGAACTTAGAAGTTTGACAAATCTAAAAAACTATATCTCAAGAAATATCAAATGAATTGGTTATAATAATCTTTAATAAATAAAATAATTGAAAATAAAGGTCTCCATTTGAATTTGGTATAGACAACTGATGTGTTAAGCCGCTTCTGGTGGGAGTATATACATGTCTAGTATAACAAAAAGACTAAATTATTCATTAGAGACAGAAGTTATGATACACATTAAAAAAAACAGTTTGAAAGTATATATAAGAGTAAAGAAGCTATATATGATGAAAATATTAAGGAAAAGAAACATATTGAATGCAGATTTTTCATTCTTTCAAAGCAAATCTACAAGGCAAGGCGTTTAGAACTAGATTTTTATTAATAAATAATAAAGGATCTCAAAGAGAAAAGTACACAGGTAAGGGGGCTAGGTCTTACCTTACTAATCAAAGAGATTTAATTTTTTCACGAAAAGTAAAACTATTAATATTTCACATTAAGACGATACAAGGTGATAACTTAAATAGATTTCATCATCTTAAAGAAACATAAGCTTTATCCCATTATTAATCACACTCTACTTTGCATTTGATGAAGTTGAACTCATGGGGACTCTTAGGTGAAAATATCCTTTATTACCAAGCTCAAATAATTCTCAAAATCCACCTCACTCTCTTTGTCTACACAAAATTCAGGATCCTCCCAAAGTTCCATTATGAGAGACTCCATCTTTGTGACTTTGTTCTCCAACCCCATCTTTGTCAATTCTTCTTTGTTATTGGCAACACTAGCTAAAATACGTTTCAAAAGCTCAAGTTTTGTAGTCATTCTCTTATTGTTGTAGACTTAGTACTCAATAATATTTCACAATTTGACATCTCCAAAATAGCATTATTTATAGGTAGACAAAGGCATTCAACAATGGTAGGAAAATAATTTTGCTTACCTAAGATAGATTATTAGTATCTTGCTACATTTACTCACTTGCCAAGTTTACATCAACTTACCAAACTTCTTTCAAAAATGGATCTAGATAGATTTAAATCTGGTAAGAGTATTAATTATAATGTTGTTTGACTAAGATTATTAGTATCTTTGCTACATTTGACTACTTTACTTAAGATTTTGTGTAATGTATTTTTCAACAACTTTCCAAACCTCTTTCAAAAAAGGATCTAGATTTAAATTCATTTTACATCAATTGGCATTCAACTATGGTAAGAGTATAATATTGTTTGACTAAGATAGACTATTAGTGTCTTTGCTACATTGAACTACTTGCTATAAAATTGCATATTATGTAATTTTCAACAACTTTCCTTACTATATTAAAAAGAAGTATATAATTTTTTAAGTTCATTCTATATCAATTAGCATTCAACTATATATGGTAACCAAAGGTCACATGTTTAACTTCATTTCTGAAATTTAACTAAGTGGGTTGACAAATTTGCAACCGAGTTAATTAATCATTTGAAAAATAATTATTACAATACCGAAACTAGAAAGAAATCAAATCAAAAGTTTACTTTATAATGGAAAACAAATTAATAAAGGGAACGAAAATTATCGAGAATGAAATGAATGTTTTTTTTTTGTTTTTAAGATCTATTATGGATTTAATTATATGATGAATGGTGATGCGTGTGATGGTTAGTGGGGGTGTCTATAGGTTTCTACTATGACGATGGTTGGTGGTGACTGATGGTAGTGGTTATGGGTAATACGTAGCTTGTGTTGATGATTGATAGTAGTAGTTAGTAGTGATAACTGATAATTGTGAAGGATGATAGTGATTGCTGATAAGTGATCGTGATTGATAATAATGGTTATTGACATATAATTATGATTGAAGGCGGTAAATATTGTTAATAAAAATTGTGGTGATAATTATAATTGATGGCTACTGATAGTGTTATAAGGATTGACATGTCTATTGGTTGTGACTTGTGATTGAGGATGATAGTAGTCGTCGGTGATGGTGGTGCTTAGCCGTAGATATAGATGTGGTGAAATATCATTTTTTAGAAAATTCTTGAATCGATAACATCTTATGATATTAAATTTTCTTGTTAAAGGTATTAATCATTCGTATACAAATTGTAAAAAAAAATACACACTTCAAATGTGACCATTTGAATAATTAAAATTCAAACCGAAAATAAATTCCTTAATTATTGAGGCCTCAAGGATTAAAATTAAAATCTTCATCAAAGTAAACAAATAAAGCTTAAGATTAATAGAGGAATAACATAGGTTTATTTATTATTCACTAACAAACACATTTCAAACAAAACACTTATGTGTCCACACATACTTAAACAAGAAGACGTACACATAAAATTATTAGCTTTTCGATGGGGCCTTTCTATTGCTATAGCCATAAGCTACGATAACTACAACGGCCCACCACCCTTATATTTTGCTCCAAAAACACAACAAACATATGTAGAAATAACCACAAAAGGGCTATATTTCTGACCAAGTTCCTTGTTTCTCTTGATCTCCAAGAGAAGAAGGAAGTATCAAATTATAATTATTTGAATTCCTGACCGAACAATTTGCCCTAATTTGACCTTGTGTTCCAGTCAACACATTCAATTGTCCCATCTTGATCATGGAATTCACAAATTCCTGAAAGAAAAGAGACTCATTGATAGCAAAACTCGTAACAATCCCTCGAGTCCTTCTATCCGTATACAAATCTTGATCCGATGTGAAAAGCCCTTGTCGATTCATGAGATCAACGTAGTACTTGTTATCGAACTTGTTAGGTGATCGTATGTCTAGGACAGTAGTGTTCGTGGAGTTTGTAGTGGGACATGTTATTTTAAGGTTTTTGGCAAAGGTTTTATCCATGGATGAATCTTGATTAGGGTAAAGTCTCTCTGTGAAAGAAGTACAATGACTAATACCAATGGTGTGACCACCAGAAAGTGTAACAACATCTGTTGGGGTGAAGTTTTTAGTAGCAAGTGAAGCTAGAATTAAACTTGTATTGAATGAAGGTGGTGGAAGATTGGCTAGGGTTTCATTTAATGTTGCAAAATTGAGTCCATCTCTTCTTCCTAATGGTAGATCATAGTCCGGGCCACCCGACTGCATTTAATTATTTACATAATCAGATCACTTGTATAATTTATTAGTAACCTAATAAAAATAATAACTAATCCTCTATGATAAGGTTAAACTACATTGACATAGAGAGAAATTATGATGTATTGAATTTATGTATAAGTACTTAATATATATATGGGTTCTAACTTGTTGATAATATTCAAAACTTTGCTTCACTACATTTTTTAGGGAAACCATTGATGTTATTATATTTGACCAAATGGTTTGACAAGAAAACGATTACTCCCTCCCATCTATCCCAATTTATATGACTCACTTTTCTTTTTAATTGGTACAAAAAAAAATGACACATTTTTATATTCAGTAACACTTTTTTTTAGTCCGTCCCAAAAAGAGTAACACATTTCTATATTCAATAACAATTTAACTTTAAAATACTTGTTTTTACCCTAAATGAAATAATTTATAGTCACACAACATCTATTACTTATTTTAGACCACAAGTTTAAAAAGTTTTTTAAAAAAAAAATTATGTATCAAGTCAAACTAACTCATATAAAATAGGACGAAAGGAGTATGTATGTGTGTGTGTGTATATATATATATATATATATTTCCTTTTTCCGCAACTCATTAATTCTAACTTTCATATGACATATTTATCACCGAAAGATTAAAGAACATTTTAACATATTTTATATAAATTAAATTTAAAAATACAATTTTTTGAAAAATTCCTTACTTTTAATTTTTTTTAATGTCAAGATAAATTTAGAAAAATAAATTAAAACGAATGTAATAAGAAAGGACATGCTATTAATTATGGTGTGACAGTTTAGCTAAAACTTGTGGACGTGGTACACTTGAATGCGAACATTATTGAGAAGTGAAAACTTGTTCAATTATTTGAGGCTTTTGTATTATTGCGCATTGAACTATTTGTCATAAATTTGACTTGAAAGTTTTTCTCCAAAATAAAAACGTTATTATATGTTAAATTAAATCAATAAATGCATGATATACTAATAAACATAAACTTACAAAGAAAACAGAGTCACGAGCAGCAATAGCAGTAATATCAGCACAAGAAACGACTCTACCGCAGTCCCGGTGGACACGGCGGCGAAGGTCTTCGATGATCCGAAAAGCCTGCTGTCTTAAACTCAAGTTGGGGGGTGCATCTTTCTCACTTGGTCCACTGGCTGAACCATCTAATAGTACTGATCCATCACAACCCTGTGTATAAAATAGTGTCACATATATTAAATTAGCATTTAATCATAAATTTATAAATATTTTTGATAAATATTATTTGAATGAAATTTCACCATGTGTTTGGTCATAATGTTGGAGAAATATATTTCACTTTTTTATTAACTATAATTTATACCTATAAGTTTTAAAAACTATCAAACTTAACCATATGTTTCTAATACATAGCAAGATAGAAATATCGACGTAACAAGATTCATGACTTCCACTATCTTCGTTGTAGCAAATAACAAGTAGTGTCCACGATATTAGAGCAATGTGATAATTTAAAGTGAGTGCAACAAACATCATTTCATACATCGTGAAGTAGACAAAGAAGACAGGACAGTGAAGGATAGGAATTGTATCTTATAGTTACTTATAGGTTATAACATTAGTTATTATTTCTTTTCATTTTACCCCTGCAACATATATTTTTTGAAAGTTTATAAGTTCCATATATTTTCTTTTTCAAAAGAGTCAAATAAAGGGTAAATTAGTAAAACTATCCATTTTATGTATGATTCTTAAGGAAGTCTGTAAAGGAGAAAGTGGATAATTGATATGAAACGGATGAATATACTTGTAATTAGTATTATATATGGTACCTAGTATTATTTCTCAGTAACGTAATCATTTGATGTTCAGATCTAGCGATAATATCTTGATCATTCATTTATGTTTTTTCAAATTCAGATATCTAAATTTTAACGAAAATAAATAAGGCCTTAAACTCAGGTCGATACCTGAACAAAGCAATCATGGAAGTGAAGACGAAGAAGGCCGGCGGCCTGACCGATATCCTGCCGGAAAACATTCTGGAGTCGGCTCCTGATGATGGATTCAGCATTGGGACAAATGGAGTCATAAAAAGTCCATGAAAGACCTTTCACAATTGGTTGAGTACCTTGAGCTTTTGTTACTTGAAAATGGATTGAAACAAAAATAGAAAGGATTAGTACAAGTGAAGAAGCCAAAGTATAAAGGCTAGTTGAAGCCATTATGATTAATTGATGAAGGTTCACATTAACTTGCCTCTACATTTATAGCGGGAAGGATGTAATAATTGTTCCATCCGTTCACTTTTATTTGTTCATTTTAAATTTCGTACATATTAGTCGATCATAATGGCTTCAACTACCTTTTCTCCGCCTTATATTAGTTGATTAGTATATTAAATATAGTTGTCATATATTAGTTTATCACCTTACTAAATCAAAAAAAGTGTTAATTAATTTTCCTATATTATCATTATAATTAATTCTTTTTTCAAGTGTTCAGATTTGTTTGTAAAGTTTTCAAAAAGATTTTTTAAGGGATGAATTAGTAAAATCATCTTTTTATTTATGATTTTTTAAGCACTGACTAAAATGAAAAGTGATCAACTAATATGAGACAAAGGGAGTATTAATGATTTAGGGACTAAGCAATGAATATACTAATGGTAAATATGTAAAAAAAAATTCTTCTCTTAAAATGTTAAAAATGAAAATTCATTTTTTGAGATAATAGACAAGTAGAAGTAAACAGATGAAGAAGTAATTGATAACTACAACACTAAGGGATGATTTGGCAGGGGTATATATATAAGAATTCATAATACTGAATCAGATGCATTAGTAATGTTCAAATTGATAATGTTGAATTTATTTATTATTCACTATATGATTTTATGTAGTTAAGGATAATTTTGTTTAATTTTAGCCATAGTTATTCAATGGTATATTAGTAATAATAACTATGATATTACTAATATCATGAATTATTGTGTATCAATTATACACTCTGTGATACCTAATAGGATGTACACACTCTACTTATTAAGCAATTAATATACAGATTAGTTATAGGTAAATTGAAAATATTATCAAAAAAAATATTAAATAATATCAAATTAATATATATTATTATTTTCTCTAATACATCCCATCAAACAATCGGTCAAAGATGTGTTGAGATAGTTCATCACCCTTAAATGGAGGCGTCTAAGTTCTACCTTCTGACAAGTGGCCTTTATTTCTCAAATGGGCCTCACGAAAGAGACAAATGAGTCATTGCACTTTTATTCTTAGTGTTGGTCTTTAATTTTTCTTCCTCGAAATAAATAAAAGAAATTATAAGACATAATATATATTTTTGCATCATAATATTTCATAAGTTAAATTTCATATTTTTAAGAAAAATAAAATTTAAAAATTCAATCAATTTAAAGGGTAAATTGTGCAGTTAAAATGGAGACAAATTCATACACTATAAATAAAGCCTGCCAATTACCGAATGATAACACAAAAACGGATTAACTACAAAATCCTTTAATTACTTTGTCCCTTTTAAGTACAAGAGGCTATGAAAAAGATGGCTCATAAAATTACTTTTCTCCTTAATAATAATTTCATTTTTCATTTATTCTGGAGTAGGTTAGCTAATTCTACCAGAACCAGTTGAAAAAATAATTTCATTTCATTTTCGTTAATTTATAATGTATTTTGAGTCATATATGGGAGGGGTCTCATTTGGTTGAGTTAAAATTTTATGTGAATTAATAAATAAAGGTCGCGTACGTATTTAATTAAATGTCATATAATTGTATCATTAGTAAAGGGCAAGTTTAAGCCTAAAATAATGTTAGAGGCAATTTGATTCATAGGTGGAAAAAAAACATTTTTAACCGTCTTACTTAATAATGATAATTTAAAGTATTTTGATCCACATACCTCGTTTTCAAAAAAAAATATTGAGAAACATATTCGAAGAAGAACAAGCTAACGAATGAATTGTAATCTTTTTCATTTTATTTCGTCAATTTTGGCTAAGAACTTAGCCGTTTAAAATTCACACAAATAATTTAATTTACAATCTAGAGACGCCCATTTTTTACTTCAATTAGAGAAATAATAACAAAAATATCAAAGAAAATAGTATTAATTAATGCTCGCATGATCTCAACAGAGAACCGTCATGAATTGTGATTTCTAAAAATAGTATATCAAATTATTTATTATTTTAAAAGTTCAAAATAAAATTAACTAATAGTTTCTTATTTTTCTTTAGTAATAATTATTTTTTAAAGACTATAAACACATAAATAAAGTAAATATTTAACTATGAGAAATTACATTTTAAAATATTAATGAAGATAATTAAAAAGAACTTCTTAATAAATATTTTTTTAAGAAATCTTAAGAAAATATAAAAATAAGCACGACAGAGTATTTGGGAGGAGGGGAGGATATGTCAAAGTTAAAGATCGTGAAAGAAGGAACAACTCTTTAGAAAATTAGCAACTATATTACACCAACCACATCTTTGTTGTCTTTGATTAATTTAATTAATTTTACGTATTCCTAAAGGTCATCGATTTCAAGTTGTAATCTAGTAGTATTTACACTTGCATGTTAGTGAAGGATATTGTATATGAACAAATTAAGTATTACTAATATGAACCAAACAACATAATAGACTTAAAAAAAAAAAAACATAATAGACTTATTATCTTGTGTTTAATTTGAATTTAATATAGAGTAAATGTTGTATTTTGTGTTTTCGTAATGCATGTGGACGGAATTAAGGTTTAACTTGTAATTTTTAGTATTGAATTTATTACTTATATACTAAAAGTTATGGCTTCAGCCTTCATATTTATTCTTATAATAACTTTAATAAATTCTTACATATAAATTTATAATTCACATCGAAAGTTATGAATTCAACGCATTATAAATATCCATAAAGGCTACGTATGGTACTGATACAAATTATTTAAAATAATGATAACTTGATAGCTATACCTTCTTAAATATAACGAAGATATAATTAACTAATTAATTATTTGACTATCATAATGTCGTGTGGAGACCCAACTCTTCAACAAACACTTCTTATTTTCTTCTATAGAATCTACGAATTAATCAATGGTGTGATAGCAAAATTAATGCTAGTTTGAACTTCCTGCCTCTGCTATTTTTAATTAATTTTGCTCATTTTTTAATTTTCAAGACAAATACTTGCAATTAAAAGACTACGATCGAGTTAATTAATTAATATTGACTTACATAAAATAACACTATAAGTAATTAATTTGTACGTATATCATGAGCGTCTTTTAACATATTGTAATGTTTAATTAATTTATTTTTATGAGTAATATTAATTATTTATAATTATACTAATTAAGTGATTAGATAACATTTAGGTAAGCTTTTTCAGTATGGATCGCACTAACTCATAGTAAAATCTATGTCCTTTTCACCATCTTTCTTCCCTCACTTGATGACCTTTTTAAAAAAAAAAATTTGATCAAATCTTGTCATAAAAAATAAAATAAAGTATTATGTTGATAGATCTAGGAGCCAAATATTCCAAGTATTAGGTTAGAAAACAATGAGCAAATTAAAGAAGCCGACAACAAAGTAATACGAGGAAAGTAGAAAAAAATATTAAACAAAACTGAGGGTAAAACTTTTACCAAAAAGGGGAAATTATATTATATTCCCCTCATTTATTCTTTCGTAGCAATTTACCAAGACATGTAAAGACAAGAAAGAAAAAGAAAAAACGATATGAAATTAGTGAGACAAAAAATCTTATACCCCAACAACTCCATAAAAAATATTACATAAAAAAGTACCATGATTTCTAGGACACTTATATGCTATTCATAAATACACGATTAATTATATTCTAGTTTTTATCAATTATTCAATATATATATGTGTGTGTAATTTTTTCTAAAGATGCATGTGCACCCCATTCAGGGGCAGCTCAAAGTAATTAGAGGCCTAAAACAAAATTTCAATTAGAGACCTAAAATCTAAATAAACTTCATATATATTTATTTAAAAATTATTTTTCTAACTTTTAGATTTCAATTAGAAGCCTAAAATCTAAATAAACTTCATATGTATTTATTTAAAAATTATTTTTCTAACTTTTTAGATGTAAATTTTGCTTAAAATTTATTTATATATGATTTCTTCAAATATATTTTTTATTATTATTAGTTTTAGGTAAGAATTTATCAATTCAACATTAGAAAACACTCTTTTACTGGGGGCATTGATTTTATCAATTCAACATTAGAAAACACTCTTTTACTGGGGGCATTACTATATGAATTGTTAACATAATTCTTAGTAATAAGTTGACAAACTTTAAATAAAACAAGAGTTAAATCATAGAATTTGATTCAAGAAGTTGATAACTTGGTATATCCTACTTTAATATATTTGTTGTATTGCTTGAAAAATTAAGAAGAAATAAAAAAAAGAATTTGTAACTTACTTTGTTCAACATTTTTCGACTATTGATTCATATTTTTGACAGACTATTACTCTACCTTATTAAAGATTTGAAGAAAAAGAGTTCAAACAGATAAATAATATGAGTGTTAGCGAAGAATAATTATTTTTTTTATTTGAATGGGGTTTAAGGAGAACAAAATAATATAATTTTATGTAAAAAAGTTAACAAAAAATTTATGAGGCCCCAATTTTGCTGTATGCAAGAGCCGCCCCTGACCCCATTTATAGGTGGTGTGCATCCCCCTCTGCCCAAGCTAAGGTGATAAAGACAACACCAATTTTATTTTTTTATTATTTTATTCTGTTTTTAAAATAAAAATAAAAAAAATGATAAAGAAACTGAGACGTTATTACAAGTGTGTCTGGTGCTATAAAGGAAAATATCATTTTCTTAATTATTTTGGTATTTAGTAAGCAACTAAAAAAAACTAATTTTAAGAACATTTATATATTAGAAATCAGACATCTAGATGAGAACATCTTTGAGAAAGGTGAGGAGGAGGCTATATATAGGAATTAGGATCATTATTTTGCTAACGTGGTTCGGAAATGTTAATATTTTTTCTAGGCAATACAACACAAACAAAATCATATATATGATAGCGTTAACAATTTAAAATTCAATATATTTAAAAAGAACTGATGATCTATCACCTATGAAACAATATTGAATAAATTTGAAAAAGAAAACAGGAGAAAATTACTTCGAGTTAATTTGGACGAAT